CTAAACAATCCCAGTTCCCTCAGCCTCTCCTCATAAGTCATGTGCTCCAGCCCCCTAATCATTTTTGTTGCCCTCCACTGGACTCTTTCCAATTTTTCCACATCCTTCTTGTAGTGTGAGGCCCAAAACTGGACACAGTACTCCAGGTGAGGCCTCACAAATGTCGAATAGAGGGGAACGATCACGTCCCTCGATCTGCTGGCAATGCCCCTACATATACAGCCCAAAATGCCGTTAGCCTTCTTGGCAACAAGGGCACACTGTTGACTCATATCCAGCTTCTCGCCCCCTGTAACTGCTAGGTCCTTTTCTGCAGAACTGCTGCCTAGCCACTTGGTCCCTAGTCTGTAACAGTGAATGGGATTCTTCCGTCCTAAGTGCAGGACTCTGCACTTGTCCTTGTTGAACCTCATCAGATTATATTATTGGCTAAATTATATTGTCAGAATCCTGATCTCTGGGAGAGAGCCATGACGGTCGGGAAGCCCCTCGTTTCATCGCGTATAAACAAAGCTCAGCATGTTTCCCTTTGATTGTCACGGGGAGATGGGGATTTGGGTCTTTTCTACTTTAAGCATGTTTCACTGAAATACTCCCTGGTGATATAAATTATTAGACAAACGTGTACACAGCACACAGGCCCCCAGCACGTCAGCCCAGGAACATGCATTAGCTTTCAGTGTGTCACTGCAGGCAGGAAGGTGTTAAATTATATTGTTAATTTAGGACATACACACACTTTCTCTGGGTCTCTGCCAAGGCCACTGCCGTTTCCATAGTGAGAGTAGGTGCATAGTGAGAGTTCTGAGCTCATCAGGTGACTAGCACCTGGTGGACAGCACACCCATGGACTATAAAGCCATGCTGCTCAGGCTGGCTGCTTCCACGTAATAACGATATTAAACTCCTGGCATCTCAGTGATTTTATCTACGGAGACATGCATTCAAAGCAGCACCCACACTGCCCATCTTGGTCACTTCCTGACAACTACAGTAGTACGCTGCTGCACTTTGCCATTGGAAATAGTCTGTTAGCAATGGGACAGACTGGAAATACCTGTAAGGATCAACAAACAAAGCCATCTCTTAGTTCAGCCCCATTAGCACAGGGGCTGCTCAAAGGATAGGTATAAGCAGATGGGACAGTCTCCCTTCCAATACTCAGAAACTTCCAGCCAGGCTATGGAAAAAATAGATTGAAAGGCTGGACAAAGGGGCAGTGCGTGAGAGATGGGGACAGCTGTTTGGACTCACACTAGAAGAATGATCAGGACAATACCCAGAGGCAAACATCTCTGTCTCCCTGTACGTTCCGAGTCAGACATCTTGCAAACTCAGCAGAACATTCAAAAGGCCCTAGGGAGACTTTGATGGAAAGTCAGCCTCTAGTCAGGCATCAGCTAGAGGCTTGGGGCCAATTTCAGAGCTGGGGTAGGCAAGTGCAGCTCCCAGTGACTGCAAATGACCATTTAGACTTCGATATGTGCTGCGACCGCTTACATCAGGGTGGAGTTTGGTTGGCGGGATATACGGTATGTGGCACCAAATGAGGGAAATGCCCAGTGATGGATAATTGGGAGGAGGTGACAGGCAGGTGCAAAGGGGTAAATGATGGCCCCTGGTGGGTAAACCCAGCCAGCTCAGAACTAGACAGAGTAGTACAAAGCCTCACTTCCCTGAAACCACGGGGGGACGTGAGGTTGGACGACTGAGGTTTAGCTACATGAAGTCTGGACTCCCCTTCTCCTCTGCTTCCCCTTTAAATAAAAGCCAGATCCAGTGTCCCCACCGGGCCTAGCAGATAGCCGGGTGCACAGCCAGCCTAGCTCTGGTCCAGACTTTTGCAAAAATCAAACAAAAACCACATAGATTTTGTTCACCTGTACATTGCAAACAGTGACCACATCTCACCCCGGAGGTGACTGATTTCTGTAATGGGCAAAGGAGTCTTATATTCTAGATCTAATTCGGAAAGAGCCCTGGGATTCTTCCGGGTGAATAGTGGTAAGGGCTCATTATGAAAATTGTACTGGACAAATGGTTTACATTTCATGTCCCCAGCCAGTGCAAGTGAAAAAGGACTGACATGTAACTCTAAGACCAGGAGTCAGAAATAAGAAAGCAAACAGATTTCCAGGCTCTCTCTAGCAATGATGTGACAAAAATGGGACACAACTTCTCACATGTTAAACTGCCCACAGGGTCATTTTAAGAGTCCTCTACCCTGCCCAGCTCTCAGCAAAACACGGTCATTTAACGCGCAGGCCAACAGTAATTACAGCTAGACGCACAGTAAGTCCCTTTCCTGCCCAGATCTTCATGCTGGTTTTGCTAACAGACAGGCTCCATAACTCTACCAAGGTGCCAGAATGCCCTGACAAGCTTTCACTTTTTTTAACCTCTCTCAGTTAATCTAGGGATTCTTTATACAAATGAAAAGGAGTCTCATAGTGCTGGCTGCAGCGTGGCACACTGAGGGTAGATGCAGTCTGACCTCCCCACACACAGCTCTTCGAATGGATTTCAATCCAGTGATGCCTCTCCCTCACTGCTTTTCCAGTTCTGGCCTTCTCACTGCACAGCTGCACCTCAGTCCCACCCCACAGCAGCCCCACCAGCTCTTCCGGCCAGGCTCCAGCACAGAGAACCCCCTCAATCGTGATTTACAGGAGACAGAGTGAAGAAGTTTTCTTGGAGCTTGTCACCAGTAGTTACATGAGCAATGTAAGCAAGTATTTCCCGTGCTCATCAGGAACTCCGCTAGAACCCCTGGCAGCCACATGGCTACTGGAGAAACTAACCTGGTTTCCTAGAGAGTCCAGTAACTCTGCCATTCCTTCCTCTAGGACCAGCTTTCAAAGACTGGCCTCCCTGCTTTGCACCCACACATAAGTGGTTGCTGGTGTAATTTCTCTCACATACACACTTATTTACTTGAGTGAGCCTGCAGATCCCATGGTTATCGATCTACAGTAAGTGACGTGAATCGCAACTACAATGAGGGCACAAAAGGGAAGGCAGGTGAAGGGCACCCTGGCAATTGGGGGGTGGGAAAGAGGAGGAAGGGGTGTGTCTAAGGCTGGGTCTACACTACCCGCCTGAATCGGTGGGTAGAAATAGACCTCTCGGGGATCGACAATCGATCCCCGAATCGACGCTCTTACTCCATCAGCGGAGGTGGGAGTAAGCGCCGTCGACGGGAAGCCGCAGAGGTCGATTTTGCCGCCGTCCCTACAGCGGGGTAAGTCGTCTGCGATACGTCGAATTCAGCTACGCTATTCACGTAGCTGAATTTGCGTATCTTAAATCGACCCCCCCCC